AATGTTAACTGAAAAGTGGATTAAGGACTGAAATATGAGATATGAAACCATAGGAAAATAAAACATGGGGGAAAGCTCCTTGAAATTGATTTTGGCAGTGATTTTTTTGGATATGACACCAAAAGCACAAGCAGCAAGAACAAAAATCAACAAGAGGGACTATAACAAAATAAAATCTTTCTGCACAGCGAAAGAAATATTCAAAAAGAAAACCAGTAAGGCAATCTACAGAATCAGAGAAAATACTTGTAAACTTTATGTCTCATAAGGAGTTAATAACTAAAATACGTAACTCATATAAGTAAAAAATTACAAAAACAGTGTAAAATGGGCAGATGAGTGGTACCTGGGTGGCTCAGTTGGTTGAGTGTCTGCCTTTGGCTCAGGTTGTGATCCCAAGGTTCTGGGATCTGCTCAGCAGAGAGTCTCCTTCTCCTACCTCTCCCCCACCCCCATCCCAACTTGTGCACTCTCTCTCTCTTTCATATAAATAAATAAAATCTTAAAAAAATAATGAGCCTGCGTGTCTCAGTGGGTTGAACCTCTGCCTTTGGCTGAGGTCATGATCTCAGGGTCCTGGGATGGAGCCCCGCATCGGGCTCTCTGCTCAGTGGGGAGCCTGCTTCCCCCCTCTCTCTGCCTACCTCTCTGCCTACTTGTGATCTCTCTCTCTGTCAAATAAATAAATAAAATCTTTAAAATAAAAAAAAATGGTCAGATGATTTGAAGAGATATTTTTTCCAAAGAAGATAAGCAAATAGCAAACAATGTACATGAAAACTTGCTTGACATCACTAATAATCAGGGAATGCAAATCAAAACCATAAATGAGATCTCATCTTAAACCTGTCAGAATAGCTATTATGCAGAAAACAAACAAAACACATACACACAAGAAATAACAAATGCTGGCAACAATGTGGAGAAATGGAAACTCTGTCGCTTTTGGTAGGAATGTAAATTGGTTCAGCCACTACTGAAACAGTATGGAGTTTGCTCAAAAAATGAAAAATAGAACTACCATATAATCCAGCAATCCCACATGTGGGTATATTTATGGACAAGATGAAATCACTATTTCAAAAAGTTATCTTCACTCCCATGTTCATTGAAGTATTATTCACAATAGCCAAGATGTGGAAACAACTTAAGTCAACCTAAGTGTCCCTCAATGGATGAATATATATGTGCTATATATATTCATTATACATATATATGTATACACACATATATACATATATAAACACATATTTCATACATCTATGTTGTGTGTGTGTTTGTATATGTGTGTGTGCACACCATAAAAACAGGAAACCCTACCATTTGCAAAAACATGGACAGAACTTGAGAACATTATTCTTCTAAGAGAAATAAGTCAGAGAAAGACAAATACTGTACAATCTCTCCTATGTGTGGAATCTAAAAGCATCAAACTCATAGAAACAAGTAGAATAGGAGCACCTGGGTGTCTCAGTCATTAAGTGTCTGCCTTTGGCTCAGGTCATGATTCCAGGGTCCTGGAATCGAGCCCCACATGGGGCTTCCTGCTCAGCAGGAAGCCTGCCTCTCCCTCTTCCGCTCCCTCTGTTTGTGTTCCCTCTCTCACTCTCTCTCTGTGTCAAATAAATAAATAAAATCTTAAAAAAAAGAAAAGAAAAGAAACAAGTATAATAGTGCTTGCCAGGGGCTGAGGGGTGAAGAAAAGGAGAAATGTTGGTAAAGAGCATAAATTCAGTTATAAGGTACATAAATTCTGGGGATCTAATGTATAGCATTATGACTATGGTCAAAATACTATATCATATATTTGAAAGTTGTTATCAGAGTATAGGTTTAATGTTCTTACCACCACAACAAAAACATAAGGTGGTAATTATATAAGATAAAGGATATATTAGCTAACTTTATTGCAGTAAACATTTTGCAAAATATACATATATAAAATCATCACATCATACACCTTAAACTTACACAATGTTGAATGTCAACTCTATCTCAATAAAGCTAGGAAAAAGTGGGGGGGAAAGCAGAAAAACAGAAAAGCGCAGGTATAGGTCATAGCTCATGCACAGGCTCACTAAAGACTGAGATGTGATCATAAAATTTTATAATACTTCCCCTCTTCCCACAACATACCACCACATCAACAGGGCCCCTGTATAATAGAAAATTGCAACTTAAAGTAGTGCATGACTCAGACCTTATTTAAGAAGGAGCATCAAAGGAAATCCAAAGACAACAGAGGAGACAAAACCAAGCACATTAGAGGGAATTTTAACCTCTGATACCTATAGCTAGATGTAAAAACAGCTTCTAGGTAAATGAAACAGTAAAAAACAACTCCTGACAAGAAAATAAAAATTCACAGAAAAGGCCTATTTACTTCATTTCCTTTTACCTGATACAATATGTCCAGCTTTCAGAAAATTTTACAGGATATGTTAAAAGAAATAAAGACAGAGCAAACATTAGAACCAAATTCAGATATGACAGAGATATTGGAATTACAGTACTTAGAATTTAAAATAATTAGCATTAATATACTAAGGTCTCTAATAAAAAGGTGGAAAACACAAAAGAGATTGATAATGTAAGCAGAGACATAGAAAATCTAAGAAAGTGTTAAATGGTAATACTAGAGATGAAACCCAAATAAGTTGTATATAGTTTTTTTTTCTTAAAGCAAAACCCCAAACAATAAAGCAAATGTTTTCTCCAATTATCCCAAGAAAATTTGCTTACCACAGAGTGACTACTGCAATTGCTGCCATACAATCAATTGGAATTCGAATCTTCCATGAATTTGAAGATAACGATGAAAAAGAAGCAATGCAAGCAAAACCTACCCTTAACAATAATCTAAAATGAGGAACCTGAGATACAAAAACCTCTTTCATTCCTCTTCTCTTGATAGGCAAAATTTTTAAGAAGTCATCTTTGTAAAAAGGCTTTAGATCTACAATGATTTTTTGTAAGTATATAACAAGATTTTGTTCTTCATCTTCTTCTGCTACTGATATGGTAATTATTTCAGGTGATAGATGTAACCTTCAAGATTTCATTAAGTGGGGTGGCCCAGTAACCTGGACTACGTGGCCCAGTCAGTTGAGCATCTGACTCTTGGTTTTCTGCTCAGGTCATGATCTCAGGGTTGTGGGAGTGGGCCCCACTTCTGGCTCTGTTCTCAGTGTGGAATCTGCTTGTACCTCTCCATCTGGTCCTCCTGCTTGGGCTCATTCTCTCTGTCTCTCTCTCAAACAAACAAACAAATAAATTTAAAAATCTTTTAAAAAAGATTTCATTAAGTAATGTCTGACAATTCATGCTGCTATTTGTAGAAGAAAAACCAAATGCTTAAGGATATGAACAAGAATGACAGCAATCTGTTATCAGGCTTGGCACTTCCAGATTTGAGTAGAATCCATGTGATTGATCACTACGTACTCACTGAAAGAGTTGGCTAAATGGTTTTTTGGGAAGAAAACATTCCAGGCAGAGGGGAAAACCTAGAGCAAAGTTAAAAAAGAAGATATGTTCTTGATTTGTTCAAGGAATAGCACAAAGGTTAGTGTGGCTAGAGCAGAGAAAGGATGATCAGTAGTGCAGTAGGAAATGAGGTCAGGATGGTAATGGGAGAACCAGACAGTTAGGACTTTGTTACAGTAAGGCTTTGCCTTGTATTCTGAGTGAAATGGGAATCTAGTATTTCTCTTTTCAGGATGGGAGTGATATAGCTAAAGTCAGCCTGGCTGCCATGTTGAAAATGTAATGCAGGGAGGAAAGGGTAAAAGCAGAAAGATATAATAAGAGGCTATTTCAGTAATCCCAATGAGAGGTTATGATGACTTTGGGCATGGTGGTAGCATTTGGGGAAAAAACAGTGAGATTCTTTTGTGTTTCTTTTAAAGATTTTTATTCATTTGAGAGAGAAAATGAGAGCATGAGCAGTGGGGAGCAGCAGAGGGAGAGGAAGAAGCAGACTCCCTGTTGAGCAGAGAGCCTGATGCAGGACTTGATCCCAAGACCGTGAGATCATGATGTGAGCTGAAAGCAGATGTTTAATGAACTGAGCCACCCAGGTACCACAAAATAGTGAGATTCTTGGTATTTTTTCAACTTTGAAAACTTCAAATCTATAGAGAACTTGCAAGAATCGGTCAATGAACATTCATATATCCTTCACTTATATTTACTAATCATTAACACCACATGCTCTCTCTCTATATGGAGATATCTATATATCTATGTCTACATTTGTTTATGTGTATTTGATATATGTATACATATATATGAAATATATAGAGAGAAATAGAAAAGTAAGACATTAAATGATTTTTATAATGTTACATGAATTTTACAAATGTTAAGCCATTTTATAGTCAGTTGAAGACATCATACTTTATACTGCAATACTTTATGTATCTATTTCCTAATAACAAAGACATACTGTGATGGTTAATTTTTTGTGTCAGTTTGACAAGGCCATGGAGTGACCACATATTTGGTTAAACATTATTCTAGTAGGTCTGTGAGGGAGTTTTTGAATGAGTTAATATTTGAATTGATAGACTGAAAACAGAAGATTGCTTTCACTATTGTGGGTAGGCTCATCTGATCTTATGTTATTCCAATCTTAAAGATAATGTATATGAAATTACTATATCAAGTGTAATTTATGCTATAATTTTTAATATATAATTTTTCAAGAAAATAAATATTCCTAATAGTTATTTTTAATCAGAATTATGTACTTAACTTTACTGAATACTGTAGTGGGTTGGTCAGTGGCCCTTCAAAAGATATGTCCATGTCCTAATATGTGTTCCCTCTGAATGTTACCTTATTTTGAAAAAAGACTCTGCAGATGTAATTAATTAATCACCTTAGAATATCCTGGGTTAATGAACTCAAAATTCAATAGCAAGTGTCCTTACAAGACAGAAGAAAATATAGAAAAGCAGAGAGCCATGTAAAGGTAGAGGGAGATACTGGAGCAATAGAGCCAAAAGGAATGCCAGAATAGAGCCACCAGGAGCTGGAAGAGGTAAGTATGGATTCTCCCTTAGAGACTCTAGAGGAAGTGAAACATTGCTAACATCTTTAATATCACAGTGTGGCCTCTAGAACTGTGAGATAATAAATTTATGTTTTTTAAAGTAATCAAGCTTGTGGTAATTTGTTACCGTAGCCCTGGGAAATTAATACAGATGCTTTTATGCATTGTATGGTTTTTATTGTTCAGTTTGTTTTTAATTGGGAGCATATTCATAGGGAAAAAATCATGTGTTTACAATGTTATTGGAAGGCTTTATCTAGTAAGCTGCACAACCCCCCCAAAAAAACTCCAAAAACCCCCCACTAAGTACAAAAAAGGGCTTACTAGTAAAATTATTTCTTTTTTAAAAAAAACATTTTATTTATTTATTTAAGAGAGCAAGAGAGAGAGAGAGAGTGTGTGCCAACATGCACAAGACAGGAAGGGGCAGAAGGAGCAGACCCTCTCCTGAACGGGGAGCCTGATGTAGGGCTCAATCCCAACAGCCTGGGAACATGACCTGAGGCAAAGGCAGACACTTAACTGACTGAGCCGCCCAGGCACTCAGTAAAATTATTTCTGTTAAGAATGCCATTAGAAGCATACCATTCTACTTCTGAAGCTTCTTCTATTTGTCACAACAACACTTGAACCCAGAATTCTGGAGAGTGTCCACTAAATATGTGATCCACCAGTTAAAGAACCAGATTAAGAAATAATACAGTTGAACTCAAGTCCTCTATTTTCAGAAATGATTGAAAGTGTGAAAGTGTGCTTGAGAGGTGTCAAGTAACTCCAAAGGAATATTTTATCCAAAGTATTATCTATGACAATGACCACTTACAGACATTTAAAAAGTAATTCATATCCTTACAGTTTAACTGGTAACATCTGCATAAGTAATATCACAAATCTAATCTTTTTCTCAAAACTAAGAAAATTTTCTCTAAAAATGGTATAATCATTAAGAATGTGGAATGTCCTTCAGTAATGTGTATCAATTTACTCAACATAAGAAAACTCATAGTGGTGGAAAACACAGTGAAAGTAAGGAATGTGAGAAGGTGTTTAAATTTAATTCTGTCCTTACCAATATAGAGAATTCATATAGGGTGAAATTTTATAAATGTTAAGAATTTGAGAACATCAGGGGCTCCTGAGTGGCTCAGTAGATTAAGACTCTGTCTTCAGCTCAGGTCATGATCTCAGCAGCCCAATCCCCCCCCATCACCACCTCTGCCTGCCTCTCTGCCTACTTGTGATCTCTGTCTGTAAAATAAATAAACTCTTAAAAAAAGAATTTGAGAACATCAATATTTGTGTGGATAATTTAGTCATCACCAGAAAATGCATACTGGTGAGAAAGTCTATGAATATAAGGAATATAGGAAGGTCTTTAGAGCTGAGTTTTCAAAAACTAGCAAATTCATATTGCAGATAAGCTCTGTGAATATTAGTAATGTAGGAAAGCCTTTACTGTGTGTGGACAAGTTGCTTAACATTAAGAAATTACACTGACAAGAAACCTGGTGAATGTACAAAATGTGGCATGATGTTTAAACTTAATTCAGTCCTTACTAAATATTAGAGAATTCATACTGGTGAGATTTTTTTTTTTTAATGAACAGGAGAAATGCAATAAAGTCTTTACTGTGTGTGGACAATTTATCCAAGGAGAGGATTCATACAGGTAATAAATCATAGGAATATAAAGAATGTGGGAAGGTCTTTAGACCTGATTGAGTTCTTCTTTCAAATCAGAGAATTCATACTGCTGATACATTCTGTGAATGTAAGGAATGGGGAAAGCCTTTACTATGTATAGATAAGTTACTCAATATCAGATAATTTATACAGGTGAGAAATCACAGGAATATAAAGAATGTGGGAAGGTGTTTAGACTTAAAATTATTCTTTCTTGCCATCAGAGAATTCATACTGATGATACTCTTTATGAATGTAAGGAATGTGGGACAACTTTTATTGTGTGTGGACAAGTCACTCAATCTAGAGAATTCATACTGGTGAGATACCTGATTAAATGTAAGAAATTTGGGAAGATATTTAGACCTAATTCAGTCATTATTATAATATAGAGAATTCATACTGCTGAAAAGCTTTATGAGTATAAGAAATTTAATAAAGTTTTTACTGCATGTAGACAACTTATTTAACATCAGATTATGAATATCATTAAAAAAACCCACAACAACCCTATGAATGTAATAAAAATGGGAAAACCATTAATATGCAAAAACAAGTTACTTGAGAATAGAATATTGGTAAAAAGCTCTTTGAATTTAAGAAATGTGGGAAGGCTTTTACATATCATTCAAACCTTAATATGTGTTGGTGAATTTATACTGGTGTGAGTTATTATTGAGTATAGAGAATGTGAGAAAGCCTGTAGTCAAGGAAGTCACCCTTATATGCAAAAGAGAATTCATACATGTGAAAAACATTTAATATAAAACATTGTGGAGAGAACTTCAGTAATGGCTATCAAATTACTCAACTTCAGAGAATTCATATTTGAGAAAATCTGTGAATGCAAAGTATGTGAGAAGATCTTTCCAGTGGCAAACTTTCATTAATTGGTATGAATAGTTTTCCATCTTGAAATTGGACTCACTAAAATTGCCTCACTAAATAAATCCTTTGCTAAAGCAAATTAAATACATGAGAAACTTAGAACTGTTTCATTTGTATATCTATAAAACCTTGTTATACTTCTTTACCTAACTCCTACTCTTCTCTTACACTTCTCCACCTCCAAGACCTTGTTTAACTTTCTTTGATTCCTTAAATTTACTCCTTCTCCTCCTTTTTCTTTGCTCACAGTACCACCTTAATGTATCTTAAAATTGATATTCCCTTTTGGGGAAAACCTCAAAATCTAGTCATGTTTAGATCTTTGTGTTATTGTTTGGACTTCCTATATCCCAACATGAAAAGAGAAGTGCCCTTCAAGATGATCATGAGGTTTATAACTTTGCATTACCAGGATTACATTGATTAGTCACAATGCATGATTATTTTTAAACATTGCTGAATTCAGGGGTGCCTGGGTGGCTCAATTGGTTGAGTGTCTGACTCTTGTTTTGGGCTCAGCTCATAATCTCAGGGTTGTGAGACTGAGCCCTGAGTCTGGCTCCATTCTTCCTCTATTTCTGCCCCTCCCCCCTTCCCCTCTCTAAAAAAAATTAAAAAAACATTGGTGGAGTCAATGTTCTAGTATTTTGTAGAGTATTTTTGTGTCTATATTTGTAAGAGATATTTGTAGGGCTTTTTCTTTGTGATGCCTTTGTCTGGTTTTGTTATCAGTAGCCTTATAGAATGAATTAGGATGTGTTCCATTCTCTATTTTTTGGATGAGTTTTGTAAATAATTAGTGTTACTTCTCCTTTAAATGACCATCTGGCTCTAGGCTTTTCCTTGTTGGGAGGTTTTTTAAAAAAAGATTTTATTTACTTATTTGAGAGAGAGAGAGAGAGAGAGAGAGAAATCACAAGTAGGCAGAGAGGCAGGCAGATGGGGTGGGGGAATCAGGCTCCCTGCTGAGCAGAGAGCCTGATTCGAGGCTCAATCCCAGGACTCTGAGATCATGACTGAAAGCAGAGTCTTAACCCTCTGAGCCACCTAGGCTCCCTTATTGGGAGGGTTTTTCTTAAAAAGTTATTGCTAATCCAATATCTTCATTTGTTACAGATTTATTCAGATTTTTATATGTATTCTTGACTTAATTTTGATTGTTTGTGTCTTTCTAGAAATTATTCCATTTCACCTGCATATTTAGTTTGTTGGACTATAGATGTTCATAGTATAACCTATTGTTCTTTTTTTCTTCCACGTTTTTATTTCAATTCCAGTTAGTTAATATACAGTGTAATATTAGTTTCTAGTGTAGGATTTGGTGATTCATCACTTACATACAACAGCTAGTGCTCATTACAGTGAGTGCCCTTCTTCATACCCATCACATATTTAATCCATCCCTCCACCCACCTCCCCTCCAGCAGCCTTCAGTTTGTTCTCTATAGTTAAGAGTCTGTTTTATGGTTTGATTCTCTCTTTTTTCCCCTCATGTTCATCGTTTTGTTCCTCTTTTTAAAAGATTTTATTTACTTATTTAAAAAATTTTATTTTAAATTCAATTAATTAACATAATATATTATTAGTTTCAGAGATAGAAGTCATTGATTCATCAGTCTTATGTAATACCCAGTGCTCATTACATCAGGTGCCCTCCTTAATGTCCATCACCCAGTTACCCCATCCCTCCATTCTCCTCTCCTTTAGCACCCCTCAGTTTGTTTCCTATGAATAAGAATCTCTTATGGTTTGTCTGTCTCTCTGATTTCATCTTGTTTTATTTTTCCCTCCCTTCCCCTATGATTCTGTTTTATTTCTTAAATTCCACATTCAAGTGAGATCACATGATAATTGTCTTTCTCTGATTGACTTATTTCACTTAGCATAATACCCTCTAGTTCCATCCATGTCATTGCAAATGGTGAGGTTTCATTTATTTTGCTGGCTGAGTTGTATTCCATTGTATATATATACACCACATCTTCTTTATCCATTTTATCTGGCAATGGGCATCTGAGCTCTTTCCATAGTTTGGCTATTGTGTACATTGCTGCTATAAACATTGGGGTGCGTGTGACCCTTGGGATCACTACATTTGTATCTTCAGGGTAAATACCCAGTAGTGCAATTGCTGGGTCATATGGTAACCCTATTTTCAACTTTTTGAGGAACCTCCATACTGTTTTCCAGAGTGGCTACACCGGCTTGCATTCCCACCAACAGTGTAAGAAGGTTCTTCTTTCTCCATATCCTCGCCAGTATCTGTCATTTCCTGACTTGTTCATTTTAGCCATTCTGACTAGTGTGAGGTGGTACCTCATTGTGGTTTTGATTTGTATTTCCCTGATCTTGGGTGATGTGAAGCATTTTTTCATATGTCTATTGGCCATTTGTATGTGTTCTCTAGAGAAATCTCT